CTTGGGCCAAGTCCGAAGTAAAGTAAGTCTCAGGCGATCGTGTGGGATGCAATTAATTGCGAAATATTTTCTGTGATGTTCGTATTTTTGTTTACCTTTGATTTCTGTGTCAATATATCTTTATGTGAAATTCTTCCAGATCGATTCGAGTGTTGTTTTACATTAATATTTATAAGCAATGTGCCCGGTATTGCCAATCAACGTGCTAGAAAAGGGCTGCATTTTATCAAATACATTGTCATTTCTTGTGTTGTTAAGCCTGTTCATTTCCTTAATTTAAGCACCCAAAATGCACCAGATTGCATCTCAGAGCGCTCAAATGTTTAAAATTTCCCGGGGGGGGGCATGCCCCCGGACCCCCCTAGCTGTTCGCGCCTTCGCCACTCAGGCTGGGCGCTACTCACCCAAATTGTCTCCGCCTGCTTCCCTTTCATCCGACTTCAACTTTCTTTGAAAAGGAAAACCCTGAGCTCGGTTCCATGAAAACCCTTCGTTTTGCTTCTGATAAACCTTGTTAAATTTATCAAGCTCGCTTAATATTCGGGATTTACCTCATGGTTATAAGATTCCAAAAACTAATTGCAAGATATTATTTACAAAACTCTTCTTTCAACCTTTTTCACATCTTCGTGATCATTACCTTGATCCAGAAGTCCTCATCAAATTCATCCTTGAACAAATCTTCTTGCTGGTGATCACGGCAGCGATCAATTTCATGCCGATCTCTTAGTTCGTTACTTTTTTCAATGCACTCCAACTCTTTCTCCCTTTCACTCATTACTGAATCGTTAAAAAGCAGCCACATTTAGGTTATAAGTATTGTATACACATTATAAATTGAGGTTAAATACATCTAGTTTCTCGTTAAAAAGGGTCTCTTCGGCCTCACTCACTAACAATGCCGCCATAGCTGCAAAGGTGAGCAGTAAGTACTTGAAACTCATCCCCAGGGATATTTTGACCTCTCTGCTTAACAATTAGGAGGCCCCTGGGCACCAGTTTGTAATCTCAGCACCCTCAGGCACCCGAGCTATAACCCTTCCCCCGAGTTGCCCTGAGCGAGCTAACTTTACACTTATTTTTTTTACAAAAATTCCCGGGCAGGCGAGACAACCCGGGAGGGGAGGGGGAGGGGGTGGGAGAGCTATTTCACCCCGGCACTTACAGTAGCCGTGGCAGGCGGGACAACCTTTTTTCATGTAAATAATTGCTCAGGTTGTCTCGCCCAAACGAGACGAGACAACTCGAACAGATAGCGGTTTACAGCTATTAAAGAGATTTAGTATTGCGTTTACTTATAACGGCAAACGTCAGCTTGCCCTTTCACGCTTCACGTAAAATAGCTTAAATCTTGCTGATTCAGCTTCGCCCGAGCTCACGTCCGACGCCCCTGTGCGACTTACAAGGAAAAGTTTTGTGCCCATTTTTCCAGAAATATTAACTTCTATTCTGTGAGGGAGAATTTCCTACGTACACGGCAAACGCGAAACGGGTTATTTTCACGTGCAAATGCAAAGCGCAACCGGTAAATGAAAAAAAAAAAATTAAAAAATGGCGGAAAAACAAGGTCACTTGGTCAACCTCTCTCTTCCCGCTTCCCAAAAACGCGGTGCTACATCGGTCAATTCTTTTCCAGTCGCTCGCCACTTTGTCGAATATGTAACCTGGCCTGGCCGAACGAAGGTTAGCAGATGTCAAATTTCACTGAAACGCTCCGTGGGCCTCAGAGTAGACCTATACATGAGCCTAGTATTATTTCGAGTAAGAGACATAGTTAATAAGGAGCCATCAAACAACAGTATAACAGGGGTTATCGAAAAAACCAAAAATTGTGCAACGAAACATTTGCTTATTTGAAAAATTTGTAACGTCGCGCCCCCAAGAATTTCAATAGCTTAGAAACGGAACAAATTTGATAATATAATGAATATTTCCTGTCTGGCAATGATTGTGGATTCCAGTAGAGCCTTACGGCTGGTAAGATCAATAAGTAAGTACGCCTATGGGTATTCCAAATATCACCATTCAGACAGTTAAATATGCAAAATTAATAAAAATGCATCCGCAAAGTTGAGTTAGATGGAAAATAATGTATTTCGATGAACGGTATGAAAAGCCAGAGTGAATAGTTTTCAATAACTCACGCCTAAGACATTAAGCACGATGTTTGGGCTGCTTGCCAGGTTCTTCTGTTGTTTCCAGGCGTTTGTAAACTTTGCTTACACTACCGTCGTGATGAGCTTTCAGTCGAACCACACCTAGCATTACTTCGATTTTTTATAACAAGTCTTTACATACAGTTAGATATTCTGAAATTCCACGTGTAATTCACACTTTGCCTCTGGTTTGTATCATGGTAATTAAGGGTGTCTTACTGCTGTATTGCCGACTATTCTCGTTTGCAAGTAAAGTTTTAGTTCGCTGACTGACTGAAACCGAAAAATCCCGACAGCAGGTTTACACAATTTGTTTATATATCCATCGCAGATTCGAGTCCAAAATGAAATGCGCACTGTTTCTGTATACTGATACTGACAAGACTAAAGGTAGGAGAATTATGAATTATTTTCAAGGCAAACTGCGAAAGATTGCAGATATGAAAAATATCGAGAACCTTCTAGTGTTGGACCAAGATTTCAGGGAAGAACTTCGTGGCAGCGAGTGTGTTGTGTTGATCGCGTCAGCCAAAGCTTCGTCCCTCATCCAAAACAAGCAGCAAGAAAAAGACGAGGATGACATACTTTTTGACGGCAAGGTTATGTATGAGGAGTTCGCACAAAACAAAGAACTTGTAAAGAACAGACTCGTTATCGTTCACTTCGCGGAAAGAACCGAGAATGATTGGATTCCGACAGGTATTGATGAAAACCGAATTTTTCATGTGGAAGATGGAAAAGCTCCCCCCAAAGGAACCCCTACCTTAACTCACCTTGAATATCGCCTGAAGAAAATATTGCTTGGAGATGATTTCTTGTACTGAACTCCAGGACCATAAAAACTACTGAAAGAGCCTTAGTTGTACTGCAAGGGTTGGCTATTCAGATAATTGCGTTTGAATCACTATCTCAGTATGATTTCTATTGAGTAATTAGTCATAAATATGTGTTATGAGAAATTTTCTTGAACCGAAACACTGATTTGATGGTAACAGCCATTAAACTGACGCTGTAATCAAGTTTAGTAGATGATGTGTAATTATGGAGAGAAATACAATTTGGGTGAAACAATTGTTTTGTAGTTAGGTACTTTAAAATCATTTCAGAGACCCTTATAAATTAAATAGTTTCTCAGAATTTACAGACCGAAGCCTCCTATTGGGATAAAGGGCAACAAAGTCAGCGATTTATTTACATTCCTTTGCAACTGATATCCAAAAGCTCTCAAATCTCACCCTCAAGCACCATGACAGTTACCGCGAACAAATCCAACCATGTAAATCCCGACCAATCCCTTCACCGGCTATAAAATTCTAATCCACAAAAACCACAAAAACATAAAGTTTACGACGCTCTCTTCCCTAGGATCCATTTTCAAGAGCTTGAATGGTAAAACGAGATGGACTGTAGAGCCGTTAGTCACCTGGTTCAATATAGCATCGGTTTTACACTGTTCAAATTCTTTCAACCCATTTTCTGATCGTGATCTTTACTTGAGCTAGGGCATGTCTTCTCGTTATCTAACACTGGAAAAGAGGCCGAGTGACGTTATGGTATAGGAATGTTTCCTGACTTCCTAACGGTTCTTGCACTCAAGGACTGATTCTCAAACAAACATTAGAGCAAATCGTGAAAGTGATATGTCATAAAACATTTTGCTGTGTGCATTACTTTAAATCAACTGTACTGTGTATTCTAAGCGAGGGCTGTAATTAGGAGTATGTTGGGCTAACAAAAAAAAAAAACAAAAAACAAAAAACCGGAGACTCCCCTTAAAAAAATCATGCTCGAGAACTTTTATCCCTCTAATGATTTCTTTCCTAGAACATTCACAATACAATTATTTCTCAAGTACCGTGGAATTTCATCGGACGCGGGTTCCACTTTAATTTATAACCATAAAAGAGAAGATAGAACAATTCAGGCGGAGAGCTCTTGTTAATTTGACGCATACAAACATGTACAGCCGGGAGTCAGTGTCGTTTAATTACCCTCGGCCACAGTTTATCCCTAAAACCTTTGTTGACAGACATGGTTTGATTCTAAAAGTCTAGCTACTTCAGTCTGAGACATGCAATCGGCTCCCCTCGAAATAGATGAGCTTCTAATTACCAGCTCCTATCCGGCAATAATATATCTTAGGAGCGTTCTCAAGTTACAATCGTGACTGTGTGACTCAACTTTGAAATATTCATTTGAGGGTAGCCCAAGAGCGATCTAACTCCATGGACAGCAAAATGCTTGTCTTATTGTCTGTTTCATTGCTTGTCTTACTTCGCTAATCTTCCAGCAGTCAAGAAACGGGTTTAATGTCGAGTTAAAGTAAAGTAAGGCAACTGATACTCTTCATATGACGACTAAGTGTGTTTTCGTGGACCGAACCGAAGTCGAGGTCCATAAAAACACACACACACGCAAAACAAGAACGACCGAGGCTATTATCCAGCCATCTCGAGGGAATAAACGTGGCCGTTAAAGGATTTATTATATTAGGAAACAGATTTATCATAAAGAATGAAGCCCATACACCTCTAAAAAAAAAATAATAATAATAATAATAATGCATATACATATGAAATATTTACTCCTTTGCTTTTAATTCTACTTTTTTCCGGCTTGAGCAAATCAGCTTCAAGGAAACGATCGAACATCAAAAGACAAAACAATAATAAACTTACCTTTTTCCGAAAAGGAAATTTTAACTGAAATTTAATCCACGACAATTACACTTCTTGAAAGCGAGAGACAGTATCTAAGCCAGAAAATATTCTCAGACATTTCATTACTTAAACACTCAGTTGCTTCGTTTCAGTTTTCTACAAGTTTTTTAATTGTAACTGTAAGTGACGAGAGATATTTTTGTCTGACAGCACCTGCCAGGCCATATCCATGATCACGCAAACCTCACTTTCTAAATTTCATTTACATAAAAAGTTCCTCAGTTAGTGCACTAATTTAAAATGCGAATTCGCAATACTTCTTCTGTCACAAGAGATGCCAATTTCTTCCCAGCAGTTGCATTCAATAGAAGACTCTTTATAAATTTCTCTGTGACAGGTAATTCTGTCATGTCATTCGATCCGACGATCTTTTGTAAAAGTTCTCTCTACAGATACAAAAGTTTAACGTTACAGCACCATGAAGGATAGAACAATTGCCTCACACGGGAAAACTTTATCGAAAATTACCTTCGATAATAAAGCGGGGCAGGATGTTGTTTTTCAAATTCCTATAATAATATACCAATAAAGGGGAGCATCGAAGATCTACAAATGTTTTTGTCTGTGCTTCACCTTCCTGGAGCGGATCCAGGGGTTGTTCGGGTGGTTCGGTCGAACCCCCTAAAGTTTCCCTCAGAACGCTGGAAATCATGTTTCCGAGGACCTAATTTTCAAAATCTCGGACTCCTCGGGAGGGGTACAATTATCTGAACCCCCCTCCGAACCCCCCTTGACTGAATCCTGGATCCGCCCGACCGCCCCCAGCCTTCGGTTAGAATCATTGTGGTTATCATTCTTCAATCGTTTTGTTTTTTGTTTTTTTTCCTTCAGGTTACGTGTTATATTTATTATTATAAAAAACTAGATCATTGGATAATGCAATTCAAGACTTTTTATTGGCTTAGCCATTATGGTATATCAGCCAATACACCATAATCTACAAATATGGTAAGCGTACGTGGCAGCTTAAAATTAAAAGGGAGCTAAAAATTTAATAAAATTTAATAATTTAATTTAACGTTTTTTAATAAAACAATTATTCCACTCGCGCTAGTTGGATATGAGATAATTATTGCCAACTCGGCGCTACGCGCCTCGTTGGCTATCTATCATCTCATATCCAACGCGCGCTCGTGGAATAATTGTTAATTTATATTTAGTCTTGAGAACCCCTTCCCATCCTAGATCATCTAAAATTTACTTTCATCCCATTAATCATATTCCCCACTAATTTATATCTTCAGTTCTTGCAAAAGTCAAGTGCATGATGGGTTTTATTAAACGTAACTGTAAGAGACCTCAAAAGGGATCTTGTGAAGACCCTATCTCCATAGCTATCACTGGTAAGATCACATCTCTGCTAAGCGTCTCAACTGTGGGCTCCCCAATCTCCCACACTAATAGTCGAGATCGAAAACATCCACGCAGAGTCACACGATTTATATGCAAAGGCCCTGGCCTCTCTTACAAGGAATGTCTATTAGAACTGAACTTTTTTCCCCTGAACTATTCTCTGGAATATCTAGACATTATCTGTTTCTTTAAATGCAAATTAGTTTAATAGATCTGAAAAGAAACGACCTCCTTGAGTTTTGTAGTGGGCGCTCGCGCCGTGGCGCCTCTGACATTTTTCTCAATAATATAAAAGCTAACACCTCACTCGAGCGATTCCTTTTTTGTAAGAATCTGTAACATATGAAACGCCTCACCAGATAACATAAGAGCTGAAAAGGAACCATCATCTATCGTCAAAAAGCTAAAACATTCTTTTACCTAATAAGACTTAGCAAAGTTTCCCGAATCAAGACGACGTCCGTTCTTTTAAAATAGTTTGTGTAAAATGTTGTCGTTTCAATGCTCTTAATTCTTGTGCATGTTAACCAACTGTTTTTTTTCTCTTTCGTTAATGATTAAATATTTTAATTTGTTATTTCGTAGCCGTGGGGGCTTGTAAGTGGGTTGGGTTTCCATTTTGTCTGTTTGTAAGGGATAGGGAAAGGTAATTTACCTAGTAGAAGACAACCTTGTCCTATTGTAAATTTACCTGCCTTTCACGAATTGTTAAATAAATAAAATTAAATAGATAAATTTGTTACTTAATAAACATTTGTTTTGTTGTTCCTCGTGATTATTTGTAACTGCATGTAACGAGATATATTTTTGTCTCAACCATAATCTTATATTCCAATTTCGGTTTCAAGATGATGTCCGTTTTGCGTAACCTTGACCTGCTACCGACGTTGTTTGTTTGTGTTCTTATTTGTATCCATTTTTTTTCATAATCAGTCCCAACATGAACTGAAAAATTTAACGTAGAAGACACCAGAAGCTTGTTTAATAATTATGTATTTCAGTTATGCACCTCAGGACCATTCACTTGACATCCTGGAGCATTTTCTTTCAGCTTTCTGAAGTCGGTAAGAAGTAGCAAATTTGCAAAATGTAACTGACATATCTTTAATTCGAAATGAAATCCAAAGAGGTCTTTATCGTAGAAGTTCAACCTGCTATCGTCTCGGTTTATTTTATTTCTTTTAAATGTATGCTACACTCTTGAGTAAATGTATCCGTGTTAAAGTGATGGATAAAAGAACTCTTTACAAACTAAATATCTCGTAATTAACTCTCACATCTTGTAAATATCTCTGTGGGAGATGTATTTTGGTTAAATAATTTAAAATCAAAACAAAACATAAACTAATACTTTCTATAAACTAACTTATTCAAAGGTGACCTTCATTTTTCGTAAGCATATAATGTTACTCACACTTTCCTGTCCAAGAGTGTCGGTTACAAAATGAAGCTTTTTCAAACGGCGGTTTTACAAACGCTCGGCGATGTTTGCTTTTCTTAAACAATTACCCTTTAATTACAACCAATCGATTTGCTTGAATGCTTTTTATACTGCGCTTTTTATACTGTCTTAGATCAGACCGTCTGGCCACTTCTATGTCCTCTCATTTCGTTTTCAGTGACCCTCCTCTTGATTTCCTTGCGAAAATAACTCAGGAAACGAAAGACTCTCAGTCAAATGACTAAAGAAACCAGCGCACAAAAATGGAGACCGAAGGCATATTCCCATCGTAGTCACGTAGGAACACAGAGCTTCTTTCATCCGTTTCCAGGCCTCATCTGTTTCACCATCTTCCTCATCATATTCCTGAACAAAAATTACGACAACAGAGTTCGAGTGAAACTCAGAAGGGGATGAGCGCAGGTAAGTAGATCTTTTCAAAAGCTTATCTGTTGGTAATGAGAGAAGAGCTAATAGCAATTGCAAGAAAGGGAGAGAATAGATAAATAATAATTGTTACCTGATCGCATTCAGTTTCTCTTCCACCGACTCGCCAGGACTGCGATCTTCACTGAATTCAAGAAGTTCTACAAACAAAGAGAAAGAGAAAGTTCTTACGTAAAGAAACGTACAGCATATACCGATAGATTATCTTCTGCGTCGTAACCGGAGTGCCAGCTTGACACGAGATTTCATTTTTCCCGCCATGAAGGAGTTGAAAGAACAAAGCATAGAAGAAGAAGAAGAAGAAGAAACTAGTAATTTCTCAGATTGACAACATAGCTCTCACTAATCGAAAAAAAGTGTACAATCGTATAACTTTTCGTTTTCACGCTGCCTCACACTAGTTCTCTTACCAGTCTTCAGTCCTCGCCTGCCTAAAGATCATATACCTTAAGTATTTCACTGCTGACCTTTTGAGAGTTCCATTTCACTGATCCAGTCTCCCTCCTTGTAGTACTTAACGCGCAAATTCTGCAGAGAGAAAAGATGTAGTAAAAAATCAATTACTTCATCCCATCCGCACCCGCATTCTCAATTATTTGCGCAATCGCACATGATCTCAATGAAGCAAGCTGGTACGTGCCTCTCAATGTTCGATTCTCATGATTAGCTCTTTGATTGGATATTTACCAGAAAAGGAAATCCCTCCATGCGAGAGAGTTGTAAAATCCGATCCACATCATATTCCAGACGGGCGACTTTCTTGGCCTGAGTGTAGGTCGTGCTCATTTGTGCAATGAGTATGTTGAGTAGAATCAAAGTCACTATTCCCATGTACGCCATCATCAACAGAACTGACAGCCAGCTGCAAAGAGGAAAACAATTTTCAATTCTTAAAGGTTAATTTGCATGAGCCAACGATGTATTTAGGAGTAAACCAAATAGTCTTTTCACGACAAGTTAACTGAAAGAACGCTTAAACTACCACTTACTTGAATTTTAAGTGATCTTCCAGCATTGGCTTTTGTTCGAGCAGAGCACGAAATCCACTCAACAGCAAATTCCCAAAGCCACTGAATGTAAAGATATACATTTTTAGAGATTTAGAATATTCCCACTACCCGCAGGACTCCACTAGCAGGTAAGTATTAAAAACGCACCTTAACGGCTGGTTTTGATCAGAATAACAAAGCGATAATGATAAGGCACCACAGAAGGAAAGACAGATTACACCAAAAACTGCCATGGATCTTGTTACGTCATGTAAAATTATCTTCGCCAAAGTGTGTGTGTATAATCCTGTTGTTCTGAAAAAGATGAGGCAATGGGCACCTTATGAAAGTGTTAATTTACGATTAAGACATCTGATCACTGCATTGTTTAGAAGCATTTGTAACTGATCATGACCGCCTCCCGGTTAGCTCAATTGGTTGGAACGCCGGAATGTGTTGTGCAGAAGGTCAAGGGTTCGAGCCTCGGTCGGACCAATGCTCATGGTTTAAAAATAACTGAGTAGAATTTGCTACCTTTCTATAAGGCCATCCCGATTTAATGTTTCGTTTCCCATCGCCCTCCCTCTCAAGAGGGTGGGTTGGTCGGTCGGGTAAAAAAAAGACAAAAAAGGAACGAACACTTGAAGGGGTCTGAGTGCCAGAAAAGGCCGGGCTGCTAAGTACGAAAGCTTGGTTACAAAGTTAACCCGAAAACGTCTTCGTTCGTTATTCTTTATCTACAATGGCAGATAGTAATTCATGTGCAGTTGTGATGAGATTACGAAAAGAGAAGAGAGTTGTGGCCTTACCAGGTAACCTGGTATAATCAGGTGGTAAAAGATTTATGTTAAAACGACTGTCAAATGTCTAAAAAGGCTATAAAAATGTTGTAGGAATTTTTTTTTACTTTTCCAAAAAAATGGGTCGGTCGGGCGATGGGAAACGAAGCATTAAATTGGGATGGCCTAATATCAAGAAGTGTATAGATATTCTAGTCTTCTCGGATAAGAACGAATAAACCGTAGGCCCCGTCTCCTGCAGGGTTAAGGGTTGGAGACGTTAATTTCCCGCGCACGAGATTACTGTGTAGTGGATGTCTTCTCCTGGGGTGGGATGGGTGGGTATGTCTTACGTTTCATACACGAGGCTCTGGCTCGGGCAACTGGGTAACCATGTCTCACGTAAAGACAATAAACTTGATTGATCTACTTTTCGCTTAAATCCTGATAGTCGCGGGAGTAATCTCAAAAGCACAGAATATGCATAGCGATACACTAAACACTTGTTGTAAAAAATTACAGATTTGCTGAAAAAATAAGAGGCAAATGCTCAAAAATAGCAAACCTTAAATGTGAGATACCATACCTTGTTACACAAGAAAACTTAAATATCCTCAGGAAATTGAACAGGAAAGTTAAAGATGCCACCAGCCACTGTACATCACTCTCGGCATATCGCAAGGGAATCATACACAAGATCAACAGCAGGCCTAACCAGTCAAACACGGTTATCCACTCTGTGAAGTAGAAATGCCTTGCTCTATAGGAAATCAGACCAAGATATGGTAATATCAATAATCCACCAAATACTTTTAATCACGCGGGATTGGTCTTAATGCATTAAGTGACTGAATACTCTTAAGGGAATATCCTTGGATATTACTGTCTGTTTCTCAAAGCTCGCAGTTTTCCTGCAGCTTTGTTCTTGAAAAACTGTTATTTTTTCAGAGGAGATATAATGCCACAGGCAATTATCCATGCTATTTCACCCCAGATGGAGGTTGTTATATCAGTTTGATAATAAAAAATGACTAATATATTTACCTTGTTCTTCTGTTCACAGGTTTTCCTGTGTTGAGTCAATATATGATAGGATTGGCTAGAATTACTCACATTGTCATTTGATGGAATTCCTCACAAATGTAAAAGACTGCCATAGCAAGAGTGACAATCTCACAAAATCCACGCAGGATATCTGGTACATCAGTGTACTGGGTGGGGTCCAGTTTGGTTGAGGCATGCAGCAGCGAATGTGACATGAACAGCAAGAAGATGACAAAGGATCCTGTTTGAAGGCTGTAAATACATGATAACAAGGTTTATAAGAAAGTTGAAATTTCAGCAAAAAAAGGAGACACATTAATAACAAATTAAGAACTGGAATAATGTATAATATCTTGACTGAACATCTTTGTTGCAACATGCAAATGCGTATCCACTCTACCTTAAAAACCAGTGTCCATAACTTTTCCATTTTGTTTTAACCAACATTCTAACCACAGGATGCTGCAAAGCCCCCTAAGATTGAAAGGAAAAACCTTCTTAATAACAAATTACAAAACACAATCCTATTTCTTTCCACAGTTTTTGTGTCCTTAACTTCACCTCATTATAACTCTTTGCAATCATGTGTAAACAAGATGTGTCTCTCTTGTTAAAATATTTGTTATTCATCTGCTCTTTCAACCCTGAGGCCGTATTCTTTGGGGGTCGTCCTCCATCATCACCATCCAGAATATGATAATAAAAGTGATATTCCAATGGATCATCTGTTATTGTGTTCCATGCCCCTTCAATCCCTTCCTTTTCTTCTTCATTTTCATAGCTTTCTTTGCGTTTTGGAAGTTGTGGCCAGTGAGGATTCACCATCTGGTCTAGTATAGCCACCACTGTTTTCTACAGACAAAATATCCTTCAGGTTAATAAATCAAGCAAATTACATGCTATTCCATGTTTAAGATATATATGATGACCTTCTCCTAATTTTGTTGAAAAGTTTGTTATGGCACAGCAGACAACAATCAATGTCAAAAACTCTGGGGCATAACAACAAGATCTGAATGAAATGCACTGAACCCAGAAGCCTCTTCTCTGATATAATAACATCTCATTATAACTGGAAGTATGCCAGGTACATTTACCTACAGATTATGACTTTATACTGATGTAATTTGGTTATATCAACTAATACTCTTTGTCATCTATTGCATAACTTGCAGGAAGACAAATAGGTGACTGATTCCAAGAACACCTTCATAATGTAGAAAGGAATGACAAGGACACATCAAAACCAGTCACTAGATGCTTTAATCTACCTAATCATTCTAAGCAGCATATGTCAACCTGCACTCTTTCCTTACATTTAGGTAGCAAAACTCTTGAACAAAAGTTTATCTTTCAAATCGGCACTCTTAGCCCCACTGGTATCAAGGAACGCTTTACTTTATACTTTTTTATTCTTGTTTTTCTTGTCACCATGTTCCCACCAATAGTGTAGCCTTGTAGCACCACTCCCTTCACATAAACACACACCCAACCCACAATTCCTACATTTGTTCTGACGAAGGGCTAACGCTCGAAACATCAGCTTTTTGACTCTTTACAGTGGCCAATTTACAATTTCAACTTATTTGATAAAACCAAATTACCTTGTTACCTCCACAGATGAAGCACGTGACCAGTTTCTTTAGAAAATTACCCCCCTTATTCAATTGTATACTGACGGACTGTCTCTGAGACTGTACTTCACATAAAATTATTGGTAGTTAATTTCAAAATAAATCTCTCACCTCCATCTTAGGATTCTCAATAATACACTTGAAGCTGAAGAATGATGGCAGGGGATTTGTCATTTTGTCATCTGGTCTCCATGAAAATAGACCTTGGACTCTAGCAAAAATGATAAAGCAAGAAATGTACTGTGCCAGGGCTGACTTACTTTAATGTACCAAAAAGATGGGTATCATTCTTTGATGTAGCATGATTTAATTAAGACAAGAACATAAAGGAGCAAAGGATGGATGGCAAATGGAAAGTTGGATTTTCAGTGGGGCAACTTCGGCAAAAACTGTTGTTAAAGTTAAAGACACTCAATGTGAAGGAGTTTTTGTTTCCCACCATTTCCCATTAAATCAAAACAGCAAGTAACTGAACCTTTTATGCCACATCAATGTGAAGGAGTTTTTGTTTCCAACCATTTTCCATTAAATCAAAACAGCAAGTAACTGTACCTTTTATGCCACATAACTCTTATTAAATAGGCTGCCACCTCATCTTTCTCAGCTATCAATGCCAACTCTATTGGTAACATGGCTCTTTTATCTCCATAATCTCTTGTCTTCAAATACAGCAGCCCTGGACATTTTTTCACTAGGGTTTTGGTAACATGCAAAAAGCCAAGTTCTGCAGCATAGTGCAGCAATGTCTTCCATAACTTGTCCTCTTTGTCTCTGAACCTCTGATATCTATTGTCTGAGTTGAGTTCACTTTCTAAAAGGATCTCCAAAAGTTGATTTATCTGCAAGAAGAATTTGTTCATAACTAACTTGACTAATTGCATTAAAAAATCTTCTCAAAAAGAGATGTAATTATGTGTCACTGATGTTCAAGTCAAACAGGGTACTTGTTCCACACTAATTGACTTACATACCTTCTGTTCAAGACCTTGAAGTTGATCAGAGCTATCTTTGTACTGGCCAGACGTTGGCCACTGCTTCAACATCAACAATGCTGGATCTTCACCTTCCTGTTCTCCATTGTCCTTGTAGTCCTGAATAAAATTTTCAATTTGTACCTCATCCAAAGCTCTGTTCCAAGACACTGATCCTTCACTCTGCTTTTGATGAACCTGTAAGTAAATTAATAACTTCCAGACACTGTCATGGTGACATCCTAACAAATGCATCATTGTTGTTATTCTACCTGCTCCTTTGAAATCAGATCATATGATACACTTTAACTCCAGGTCATGGAATGTAAATCTCAAGAATGCTGGTCTAACGGACAAAGAACCTAATCAAGATACTTAGTAATGCACTTGGGACTATGCAAGCTTATGGCATATGTCAATGCGTTAAAAGGATTACTTTACATCGAAACACATCACCTTCTGACAGGTCAAACTACCGCTAGTGAACAAACAAGTGGAAGGATAAACATTAAGAGTTTGGGATGGGGTAAGCTCAGTTAAGTTTCTTTTTCTGCAGATGTTATAACTATAAGTTTCTTTTATATATGGCACACAATAACAAACTTGAAGAAAGTTGAATTACCTTAATCCAGAACTCTTCGTCAAATTTAATGTCCATCACTTGTTGGTCAATTTCAGCTGGAGTTTCGTGTTCGTTGTAATCCTGTATTTCCTTCCACATTTTTAAATCAGTTCATCTCCAGTTCTATCACGTCTGTATGTCTTAACTTTCATTGACATTTTAAGGTGCTAGACGATCATCTCCTAACTCCGGTCCGAAATTTATGCCTACTTTTGCCTGGATAACCCGTTTGCCTATTCATGCCTTCACGTCACCACGCTGGATACGCGCCTGGAGACTGGATTGGTTTGTTCCCAGGCCCACCCCATCCCGACACATCCTAGCTGTCCTCTCAACACGAGGGCCTTTAAACCCAAAATGGTTCAGTTGAATTCTCAACTCAACAAAAGGAAGTAAACAAAAAAATTAATCGAAATGAATTTTTTAGCAAATTTTTAAATAACTCTCGACCTCAGGACTGACAGGAAACAAACATGTTGGCGCTTCAAAACTAAGTTTACCTTACAGAGGCCATGTTTGAAAACTCACGAGGGAAATGGCATGTCTGTATCAAGTCAAGATATGAAGAAATGGACGAAACACCCGATTCGACCATTTCAAGGTATAATCCTTCCACATTTAATTTCGTCACCAACAACCCTATCTCTGAGCAAAAGGCGGAGGGAAAAGGTGAAACGAGCGACTTTCTTTTCCATGACATTAATTGGCGCCGCTAATTAGATGAATTGACAGAGGGCAGGAAGTGAGAAAGAATATTTGCCAGATAATAGTCTTTATAATGGCTTCCTCTAAAAGTAAAGGTGTCACATAAACTGAGAAAATCAGACTTCGAGTTTAATCAGAGTTTCCAATACTTTGAAGAAATGAGAAACATCGATTGACAAATAAATTTTTGCACTTTAATTATTGGAGCTGAGAAATGCCGACGAGACAGTACTTTTGTTCACCTAACTGTAGATGTTGTTTGACATGAATACTACGTTTCTTTTGCACGAAATTTACACCATGATACTGATATAAACGATGGGCGATAGAATAAAGCCGACTTCACGTTTCCAGACTTCTCTACGATTCCAAACAGCTTAGAAGTTTGTTTCGGTCTTTCAGCTCCATCTCATAAACACGCGCAGCTTGAGGTTAAAAAAAGAAATGAAGTACGTTTTGTTTCTGTATACTGAGAGCGACTACGACGAAGCTGAAGAACTAAAGGATTATTTGCAAGTCAGCCGGTTACGACGTGTGGCAGATATGAGAAATATCACTGGAATTTTTGCTGAAGGACAAGATTTCAGGGAAGAACTTCGTCGCAGTGACTGCGTGGTACTTATCGGGTCTCATCGTGCTTCGACTCTCATTCGAGAGAAGAAGCAAGAAGTCAACGACAACTTTAAATTTATTTCTTTTGACGGTGAAGTGATCAATGAAGAGTTGACCGAAAACCAAGATCTTGTCGGGGACAGACTGATTATTGTTTTCCTCAAAGAGAGGACCGAGAATGATTGGATCCCAGATTATTTTAATGAAAAAAGAGTATTTAATCTACAAGGGGAGAAAATTAAGGAAGGTCCCCTGCTATACCAGCTTGAATATTCTATACGACGAATACTACTTGGACCAGATGATTTAATGCTGTAGAGACGAGGTACATATTTGACCAAAGTATAGTTTGCCACCTGTGAAACTATAGATGTTTTTGGCTGATTGAGCCGTAAGACATTGCTGACGGTATTTTTGGCTGTAGTGCGTTGTGATATTTATCATGTTGTTTGCAATTATATATTTACGTTATTTTTTTTGCATGAATCAGAGAGCTGGTAATTACATTTAGCTTCTAGTGTTTAAGCTGTTGCTGCTGTTGTTTTTTGATGGCTCATTTATTGTATCAAAAGAAAAAAAATAAAACTTAAGGCAAGATTTCCGCATAGCCCATACTCCATGGTGCATACACTTCTTTACAGACAGAAAGCAATGACGCTAGGAATGGTTTACCTTTCAGTACAATAGAGAATCAAGAAAAGGGCGCCTTTAGGGGTATTAAATAATCAATGAAAATCCAACCATGTTATCTTCAGTTATCTAAACCGCTAATCGGTGAATCTGTGCTACACATTCGGTTTATGAACAAAAGAGAATCACCTTTTGGTTTAGATATTTCTGTTGTACAACTTTTATTTCTGTTAAATATGAGCTTTCCTTTAGAATCAGAAATCCTGCACATTTTTCAAGTCTCTTTTCATAAAATGGAGTATGTACTGTAAAAAGGCTTTATTTCAATAGCGTGTGTGATTGAAACCTGAAGATGGTGCTATTCCCAAGAGACTCGAAAACTTGTCGAACCGAAAACTAGAGAAGAGAATCTCAAGGCCTCCGAAAAAATGACATAATTTATCCAAAAATGTTTGAGTAGTTTTCTTGGGATCTAACCGCTAGCAAAACACTTCGTTTCGCAACATTTGGTTTATCCGTCAAAGAAATAATTTAACCAAATAAAATTAAAATAGGAAATAAATAAAATAACCAAATTCCTACCACTTCCTAATTATGGCTTTGTACCAGATAGCGAAACTTTTAGGTGTTGTAAGAAAACACGCTTATTTTTACATACCTCGACTCGACTACTGCTATAGCTATATCTACGTAATTGCAAGATGTCCTGCTAAGATGACTCTGATATAACTTTTATCATCATTGAAATAACATACTGGCTTGTATCGTCTCTTCAAATAATACATTATCTCTTGACTCTAGCTGTTCTACTTCGCTTTGTTATTGTTTTCGTCTTTATTTACTATTAATCCATAGAGCCTTACTGGTGCATGTTTATTTCCTTTCACTTCCGGCCAGCTTTGGGTAACAGAGGTGTTCAGTTGTTCTGCTTTTTCCTAACCATAACTATGAATCTATCTGTATTACTGAAAGACGTTTGAGGTCTGTCGCATACATACATACCTGACGCTCGTTTTAATCTTCCTCAGATCTCATCTGTTTTGACCATCTTTCTCATCATAGTATCCCTTGAAAAGGTAGCACACAATAAGGAAAATTCTGCGATAATCAATAGCGGAGGAGTGGGGTGGGATATAGGTAGGCTGACCAGTTGTATTTGAGGGGTTTTAAAGTAAATTGCCTTTTTTATTGGACTTAAAACTTTGCGTCACCTTACCAACCAATCAGATGCTAACCTCATTTTCGTGGTTGTAAACATTTTGGCTTTAGTTTTACGACACTTACGACTCCTAAAACCTCATTATGAACTTCAGTAGTTTCAGTAACTGGAGGAGTCGTAAGAGATGTGAAAAAGCACTCTTTTCACCTGATCGCATTCAGTTTCTCTTCCACCGACTCCTAAGGATTTCGATCTTCATTAAATTCAAGAAGTTCTAGGAAAAAGCCACGATCACAATACATTAACGCACTGAAATGTGAAATATGCTTTGGTTTGATATTTCTTTTTTCAGTTTTATAAAGTTTAACAAATTATCAACTTCCTGGCAAGGAAAAGGGACTCTATCGTAAGCAGCCTTTCTCCTCTTTTTACCCAGTAGAAACGTCATCTTTGTTCTCTTATCAGTTTCCATTGGCCAACTAACTTTTTCAATGATATCCCAATTGGATAATACGCCTAATTCGGCAGCCTAACCCAAATATTTTTATAACATAACTAAAATAAAGCGCGCGCTCTGATTGGTCAATTTAGCGTCCCCCATTTGCCCATGGGTGTACGCTGCTGACGTGAGCAAATGCAAAGCCTACTTTTCCGCGCGCGCTTGTTTTTTCTGGTCGCGTAAAATTTGTTAAATAAAAGGGAACTCTATAGCTACACTGTATCAATGTTATGTTATAAAACAAATGCACAGAGAAGTAATAACTTTTAAGATTAGTGCCACTTACTTGAAAGTTGAGTAGTCTTCAGCCATTGGATACTGCTCGGAAAGCGCTCGAAATCCGCTCAACAAGACGTCTCCAAAACCACTAAAGGTAAAATTAAAATTAGTACGCCGTTGGGTTTTTGCACTTCACATGAGTTATATCCACTAAGTTACCGCGTTCAGTAAATTGCTTTTAATTTGCAAAAGGGCGAGAATAGTTTGAATAAATAAAAAGTCTAGCCAGTAAAAAATAAATAAATCAAACCAAACAAATTTCAGAGGAAATTCTCGAATATTTTATGAACTAATAGGAACCACCGCTTTAATTTTTTTTTTTTTTTATCAAAGACAACTTCAGCTTTGTCGAGGAGATATACTCAACAGAAACGCACTGAAGTTCTTGGTTTTCCCTGGATCCGGAGTCACAGAGTGATAAAGTCAATGCACTACAGAAAGAGAAAAAGATCATAATAAAAACTGCCATGGATCATGTGACGTCATGTAACATGATCTTAGCCAAAGTTTGTGTGTATAATCCTGTAGTCCTAAAAGATGTAGGGTAATATTAGGTTAGATTATTGGGAAGGGATGAGTTTTAAGTGATCAGCGCTCTTTCCGAACTAAAGTGATTAATTGGGAGTTGTAAGTTACCTTGACACACACGAAAACTTAAAGATCCTCATGAAGTTGAAGAAGAAGGCCAAAGATGTCACCATCCACCGAGCTTTGAGATCCCTGTATCGTAACGGTATTATACACAGGATTAACAGCAGGCCCAACCAGTCAAACAGGGTCCTCCTGTTACGGGTTTTGCCGCCTTTTTTGTCAGTGGGCCCTGGGACCCACTCGGTCAGTTTTATTTCCCAGGCCCGTTCGGTTCACAGCTCGTGTGTTGCGTTTTTTTAGTTTCGGTAGATTTCACCTTAATTTATCACCTCAGTTTCTCAGTTCATCATTCATCGCAGCACCATCCATGTAAGTTTTCATCGTTCCGTTATTTTATTGTTTTTGCCTTGTCGTATTTTCTGTTTTCTGTTTTCGTTTCATCGTTTTCTGTATTTTATTTACATGTAGTTTCACCATTCGACACTGAAGGAAAATAAACCATCGATTTGTATACTCTTCGTGTCTCGGTTGAACACTACGCTAAGAACACGATACCTCCACTGTGTAAAATAAGAACGCCCCTCTCTGCAACTGAAATCAGACAATTTGTTTAAACTTGCTCCT